ATATATTATATATATTTGTGTGCTGCCTGTCGTTTGCACATATTCACACACGCTGCTATGAGGATATGTAATATAAATTTATAATCGACTAATAAATGTGCTTCCTTTGCAGTCTATGCAGAGGAAGGGGAAGACAGAATCATGGAATCATAAAATCAGAATTCTAAGGCATATCTTTTTTTTCACAATAATCTCTCTCTTCCCCCCCCCCTTCTGTTCCTCTCTCCTCTCTCTCTGTTTCTGTTCTCTCTCTCTCTCTCTCTCTCTCTCTCTCTCTCTCTCTTTCTCTTCTCCTCTCTTCTCTCATCTCTCTCTACTTTCTCTTTCTCTCTCTTTTCTCTCTCTGTCTTCTACTTTCTCTCTCTTCTCTCTCTAAATCTCTCTCTCTCTCTCTCTCTCCTCTCTCTCTCTCTCTCTCTCTCTCTCTCTCTCTCTCTCTCTCTCTCTCTCTCTCTCTCTACTCTCTCTCTCTCTCTTTCTCTCTCTTCTCTCTCTTTCTCTCTTTCTCTTCTCTTTCTCTTTCTCTCTCTATCTCTTTCTCTCTCTTTCTCTTCTCTCCTCTTTCCTCTTTCCTCTCTCTCTCTCTCTCTCTCTCTCTCTCTCTCTCTCTCTCTCTCTCTCTCTCTCTCCCTCTCCTCTCCTCTCCTCTCTCTCTCTCTCTCTCTCTCTCTCTCTCTCTCTCTCTCTCTCTCGTCTCTCTCTTCTCTCTCTCTCTCTCTCTCTCTCTCTACCCACTTCCTCTCTCCCCCCTCCCTCTCTCTCCTCTCCCCCTCCCTCTCTCTCTCCATCTTCCCTCTCTCTCTCATTTCTTCTCTCTCCCATATCTCTCTCTCTCTTCCATCTCTCTATCTCTCTCATTTGTGTGCGTGTGTGTGTTTGAGTGCGTGTGTGCGTGCGTGGAAGTTTGCATGTCCCAATCCAGCTTTCCCGTTTGTTCTCTGGCGCGCGTGTGAGGTTGCTTGCTTCTCGCTGAGTAACCTTAATAAGGAGGTCTGGACAGCGTCGTCCGTTTGGTTGGACGCCGACGCCAAAACCGCGATAGGTTTCTGCTGTCTCCTATCCCTTTTATTCGCTTTGTGTGGTTTGTCGTAATTGAGGGTAACAGACGGAAAGGAAATTGGTCGTTCGTTCATAAATTCGTAGACTTCTGCATTTGTTGTTGGTAGATTTTTAGGAATGTTTACCGGGTTTAAGAACATTAATGTCGACATATTATCGGGGCGTGTTGGAAGACAGCTGTGGTTGTTGCTACTACAGCTGTCTTAGTTGCGTAGCCCAGCATAGCGGCCTTGTTGATCAGGATATAAAATTATTACCATAAACTGTCCAGTTAAAAAAAGGTTAGCTGGCACCCACTGGTCGAGTTGCCAGTACGTGCGTTAAGTCATATTTTTGCATGCTGCGCTGGCAAAAAGAAAAACTTCGATGATAATGCGATAAATGTGAAGTCTTGAGCGGGCCTTACATCTCCTGCGGCCGGAGATTAAGCCAATTACGACGACAGTTCGGGGAAAATATTTAAAAATCGCTCAGGATTAATGGCTGGCGCAGTGATATACGGCCTATTTTCTCGTCCGCTGCAACACCCCCTCCCCCCCTCGTTACCCGTCCCTATTCCTCATCCCTACCTCCTCCCTCCCACTCTCCCGCCCTCCATCCCTTACTAGTTAATCCCAACATCCACCCCTTCCTTCCCTCCCTCCCTCATTCCCACCCCCTTCCCTCCCTCCTCCCTCCCTCCTTCCCTACCCCCTCCCTCACTTCCCACATTTCCCACCCCCTTCCCTCCCTCCCTCCCTCCCTCCCGCCCACCCACCCACCCACCCACCCAACCCTACCCGGTAACGCCAAAAATTTTAACGCGGGTTTTTATTTACGCGTTTGATCTCATGCCCTTCCCGGAGCCCCGAAGTGCCCTGCGGCCCCCACGACGGCGGCCGCCACCCAGCCTGACGCGGCCAAAAAGGAGGTGCAAGATAAGATAAGCTTGACAAGAGCCCACAATTCAGGTTAGAAACGCTATCGAGAGATCAAAGGCGCGCGCGCGGGAACCAACTCACTTTTGATGGGTAATTAGGAAGTGTCCGATTTCATGCCGGCCGCTGCTTTTTTGTGTGCGTGCGTGTGTCTGTGTGTGTTCGGAATTAGCTTCCTTTATTGTCTCTCTCTCGCTCTCTTGCTCTCTCTCTCTCTCTCTCTCTCTCTCTCTCTCTCTCTCTCTCTCTCCTCTCTCTCTCTCTCTCTCTCTCTCTCTCTCTCTCTCTTCTCTCTCTTCTCTCTCTCTCTCCATCCTCTTTCTTCCCCCAGCTTTCATTCCTCGCCTATCAGACGTTCGTTCCAAGGGTCATTAGGCATCGTTCGGGAAATTTTGCGTCGGGGTTGTAGCCGCTTTTCGGGAGCTTTGAAAGGGATAAGATTACTTGGCGAAACCTAAGCCAGCGTGAAGGGATCGCGGGGAGAGGTGCGAGGGTTGCCGACTGTCGCGAGATGGCGAGAGAGGGAGGGAGGGGGAGGGAATAGGAGAGAAAGAGGGAGGAGAGAGAGAGGGGGGAGGGAGAGGAGAGGGGGGGGAGAGAGATAAATATGCATAGAGAGATAGATACGAGTAGATAGAGAGCGAGAGAAAGATGAGTGGGTTAGAAAAAGGAGAGAAATGGATAGATAAATAGGTATACAGAGAGAGATAGAGAGAGAATGCGGGCGCGCAAACTCTCTCGAGACGCCGATGCTGATAAACGGGGATTTTTGTTCTTATATTTGGGGGGAGGGGGAGGGGAGGGGGCGCAGGCAGGTAGTATCTTGAGCCATGACAGGGCGGGATTTGGAATTTTAAAGAATCGAGAAGTTTTGAGATAGATAGAGAGATAAAAAACAAAAGAGATTGACTTTGATGTATATAAAACGTTATTCTCTCATATATTTTTCTTCCTTTTTATGTTTTTTCCCTTTTTTTTCCTCCTACGTTTTTTTTTCTTCTTTTTTGCTGTACAATCTTTCTTCTTTACTTTTTTTTTTTGACTTTCTCACTTTTTTTTTCTCTTTTTTCTTTCTCTTGTACAATTTTTCTTCGTTTTCATTCTTCTTCCCTCCTTTGTTTTTTATCTTATTTCCTTTCTCTTTTTTTTTTTTTTGGTCTGGTTACGTCATAGCAAGGTTAAACGGGAAATTAGTGGGCGTGGCCAGTCGCTGGAGAGGACCGCCTGCCCCGCGTTTTATGGACAGTCGGGCCGCATGTTGCTGTTGATGACCGGCATCCGCATCTGGGGGACAGTGGATCGACTCTCGCCCCTCGCTCTCTCTCTGTCGCTCGGCGCTATTTCGCTCTCCAATCTGTCGCTCGCTGGGTTTGTTTTGTTGTTGTTTTGGTGTTGGTGGTTGGAGGTGGTGGTGGTGAATTTTCTTTTCTGGTTTTTTTGTTTGTTTTGTTTGTTTGTTTTTTTCTGTCTTTCTCTTTTTGTCGGTGTTTTTTTTTTCTCTCTCTCCTCAGCTATCTCTCTTTTTTCTTTTCTTTTCTCTCTTTTCTTTCTGTCTGTCTCTCTCTCATTCTCTCTCTCTCTCTCTCTCTCTCTCTCTCTCTCTCTCTCTCTCTCTCTCTCTCTCTCTCTCTCTCTACACACACACACACACACACACACACACACACACACACACACACACACACACACACACACACACACACACACACACAGACACACACACACACACACGCACACACACACGCACACGCACACTCTCACTCACTATCTATCTCTGTGTGTGTGTTGTGTGCGTGTGTGTGTACATGTATGTGTGTGTACATGTGTGTGTGGAGCCTTGCACGTGTCCCTCCTCCGCCCACAGCAATTTGAACATAAGAGCCAGCATTACAACTAAGTGTTTGTGTGTTTGTGTGTGCGTGTGTTAGCGTGAGTGTTTCTTTAAGTGTAGTGTTTCCTCTTAAAAAAAAAAAAAAAAAAAAAAAGTGACAAGCCCTTACCCACAATTCCTTTCGTTGACAGAGACGCGACCTTAAATAAACTAGACAAGCATATAAAGGACCAATTTAACTCCTATATAAAGGGTTGCTAAGTCAAGTGCCTGTGGGTTTGGGTATGTGGGTGTCTAGGTATGCATGTGTGCATATCTATGTATATATGTACATATATATATATATATTATATATATTATATATTATATTCATATAATATATACACACACACACACATACATACATACTATATATATAATATATATATATATTATATATATATATTATATATATATATATATATATTATATATATTAAATATATTATATATACATACATACATATTTTGATATGATCTTCCTCTCTTCTCTCTCTCTTCATCTCGTCTCTCTCTCTCTCTCTCCTCTCTCTCTCTCTATATATAATAATATATATATATATATATATAATATATATATATATATATATATATATATATATATATATTATAAATGTGGTGTGTGTGTGTGTGTGTGTGTGTGTGTGTGTGTATGTGTGTGTGTGGGTGTGTTGTGTGTGTGTACACACACATACATATACATACATACATATACTGTACATACATACATATGCATATACAATATTCATACACACATATGCGTACATACATAACATATAATATTTCACATAAACACACACACACCCACGTTATGTGCATCTTTCCACTTTCACGTGAATTTGCACTAAACACACATGCAAAGACACTCGAAGATGCGTTATGAAATCAGTATGAACTGTGCGTAAGCTCTGTGTCTACATGTGTTTAGAGGTGTTGCATTGACGTATACACAGCCGCGCCCATGTGAGTGTATGTTACGCGAAACAGCCTCATAAAAGGACCAGGCGCCCAGACGGACCAGAGGAAGGCCGAGAAAATGTTAGTATACAGTTGGTGGAACGACGGACGTGTGTTTGTGAGTGATCCTCGTGTGTGTGTGTGTGTGGGGTGTGTGTGTGTGTGTGTGTGTGTGTGTGTGTGATGTCCTTCTGGCCT